TGGAGCGTCCAGTCGCTGTAAATGTCCAGCTGCTCACTTTGCTCATGAAGTCTGGCGCCATGTCCGGCGTGCTGCTGAACTCGCCGCACACCTGCAGGTCGCTGACGCAACAGACGGCGTCCCGGAGCTCGGCCAGGGTGTGGGAGCCGGTCATCAGCAGCGTGGTGTGGGGTCTGAGGTGGTTAAACTGGGGGAAGTTTAGAAGTACGGTGGCCCACAAGGCACACACAATGCAAAGGCCACAGTGCAAGTTATGCTAGAACTGATCCGAAAAAATTAGGATAAACTTGCTAGCAAAACTTCTGTAGCATCATTAAATCATTTCACCATGATTTCTGTTTTATACAACAGAATTCATGATAATCGTGCTAGCATAGCTTCTGTATTAGCATTAGTTATATTTTAGGATAAATTTAGTTTTAGGACAAAACGGAATTTGTGATGCGACACCAACATGGAAACTTCCATTTTAGAGTCACTTCTGCTTCAGCATAATTTCTGTTTTAGCATAAATCCTTTGTAAGTAGAACTTCTCTTAGCATGAAAGTAAATTCATGAAAAACTTGCTAGCATAACTTCCAGTTTAGCATCACATCGGTTTTAGCATGAAATGGATTTCATGTGGTTTGTGGTTTTTACTGACAGACACAGTCAGTAAAAACTGTGTCTGTCAGGTTTTGTGGTTTTGTGGTTTGTTGACCCTTCTGGGCCGCCGTAGAAGGGAAATGTCAGCCCCACAGAGGAACCATTGAGGGATAAATGTGATGACGAACAATGTGACAAAATAGAGATAAATGCTCACTTTCTCCACGGAACTAGGGAAGTAGATATTGATAGTTAGAATGAGTTCGCCTTCAGGGAGCTGGTTAGCCTTGGTGTCTGGTAGCCTTCCAGCAGTCAGGCGGTCCTGGAAACCATTCAGAGGAAACAAACAAACTTTCATTCTGATTTAGAAATTCATCTCTGACATATTAGACTTCTAGCAAATCAAAGTAATTTGGATTATTTTAACTGACCTAAACCAAGAGGATTTTGGTCTGATTTAATTGTTAAGCTCTGCGTTAGAGATGAACATGAATCCTTCGTTTCACCCACCAGTTCATCTGCGTAGAGGTCATGTCTGTTTCTGGTACATTTCTGAGTTTTGTTGTTCTTCTTTTTTCTGTGTCTGTCAGTAAAAACAAACAGAGTCATCCTGCTGTGGAATCCAGACAGTAACTGGGATGAATAAATGGGAACCGGGCTTACATCAGAGTCTTTAGTGTCGTGTTTGGAGGGACGACTTCCGGGTCGCGCTCCTGATCTCCAGAATGGCAAAGAAGCGAATTGACACTGCAACCGGAAAACAGGAATTAAAAACCTTTTAATTTGTTTCCTATGGATTGAAATACCTCTCTTCTTTATTTCTGATCATTTTGATTATTATTACAGCAAATACCAAAACTAATTTAGGTTTAACAAAATGTTAATGGTAGCATAAATCTAAAAAAAATATTAACACTTCAGCTTGAATTACTGCATCAGTGAGTGGGATGGAGGCGATTAGCTAGTGGCTAAGTAACTTAACTTTTATTTTTTATTTGTGAACCCGGCGGTGACTGGACTTTTTCAATGTTCCTTTTTCCTTCCACTCAACTTTCCACTGAGAGGTTTGAACACAGCACTCTGTGAGCAGCCAGCTTGTTTAGCAATAACGTTTTGTCTTCCCCGTCAGCCTGTGAGCCACAACTGAACATTTATGTATTAAAAATATTACGCTGTTATGTAATGTTCTAATTAGTGGACGAGTGAATTTGGGGTTTTAATTAGCTTGTAGGCTAATCTAAGCGATGTGAAATTGTCACATTAAAGCCACCCAAAGGGCTGTGATTGGACCTTTGATATCAGAATCTTGTGTGGGAATCGTCTGGTGTTCGGACCCGCTGGGGCCACCGACCTGCAGACGGATCTGAGTTCAGTCATGGTTTCCTCTCCGACCCCCATCGCCGCAGCGAAGCGAGCTTCAAACAAGTCCTGGTCTCCCGGCTGGAAGGAAAAGTCCTCCGGCTTCAGTCTTTTCAGCCACTCGTCCCGGAAAGAGCCGATGTGAAAAGGTGTGGAGTTTAAGTTCATAAATTCATAATCTGGGATGTTGCTGCTCGGTTCTACCGGTTGTTCGGACGCCGCCATGTTTTCAGCGACGAAAACAAATGCGTCCCCGGGCTTTTAAAGCAAACCCGCGCAAAGGCTTGTGGGTAATGTAGTTCTATGGTTTCCTTGCGCGCGTGTGTTTTTTTTTTTTTTTTTTACAGGTTTTCAGATCACCACCTTCCTAAACGCCCAATTACCACATAGAAATGTGTTTGTTGTGTTTAATCGATTAATTCTAATTAACATAGCATGTCACATGTTAACCTAATGAAATTATTTCGGTTTAGGATCAATAAAGTGTTCTTTAATTAAATTTAAATTTGAGTGAACGCAACATATTTTAGCTCAGTGAATTAGTAATGTGATGTCTCTCTTGACCACCAGGGGGCAGAAATGTAAAATCAATCAATCGATAAAACTGCATCAAAAGAAAGAAGAAGCAGGTTAAGCCTGATAAAGCCCGCCATTTTCCGAGTTCCTTTTCGGCGTGAACTTACGATGGCTTTCGCATTATTCCAGAGTTTTATCAGTTTTTGCCAAAAGTGTGATCCCCCCCCGTCCACCCCAAAATAATCTTTTAGCAAAGAAAAAAGAGGTGGTGATTGTTTTAATTCCAAAATCACTTTTGGTTAAAAGTGACTTAGGGCATTACTTTAGGAAGGTGACAACAATTGTTCGGACAAACAACATTTAGCTCTCGAACTGACTCTTGAACTGTGTTATTTAGAGTTCTGTCTATAATTTCAAAGTGAGCGAAGAAGAACACAAACAGAACAATCAATCTGTATGCTCTTTGTTAGCTAGATTCTTCAACAACACTGACCTCAAGATTCAATATGGCTGCCTAACGTTTAGCACAGCAATATTTAGATTACATTATTTGCACTTCCAACTGTATCTCATCAACCAATACGGAGATCTGATAAAGCCTTTATTAGCAAAAATGGTTCAATGTGAATATACACAATATGAAGAAATTAATTCTCATTTGCTGCCACTCTTGGTTCAGTATTCATAAAATCACCTATTTGGGAATTTTTCTGGAAAATGTAGCTCCAAATTATTCTAGGAAAATTAGCCCAATCACAGATTTTTCTGTTTGTAAAGCATATCTAAAATATTTAAAAGAAAATGCAGCTTTGGAAGCTGAAATACTCACTAGCGATCCTAGCTGACATGCAATTTGTTGGCTGTTGTTTAGAAAGCAACCAATCCAGGATCACCATTCATTTCCTTGACACTGACTGGCTATTTGTCAGCAGTTGCAGTCCCTAATTATTGTGAACATCGAGGGTCCATTATGCTAATTCTAGTTAGCCTAAATTAGCATAACAAAGAGGCAAATGAAAAAAAATTTCTACACCTCCAACCAATATCTGACTCTCTTACTGCAGAATGGTCTAATTCTGGTCTTTTAAATTGAACAACCGTCCAGCACGTGTTGATTGAGCATCAAGACCTTGTGATGATGCAGAAGACATTTAAAACCAGTCATGAACTTTTCTTCCTGGGGTTATTTTGGTCGGAAAACTCCAGCAGGTTACGTCAGAGAAAGTGCAAAGGGGACTGTGGTAGAATGAATGACAAAACCACTGGAAATAATTGTTTAGGATGATGCATCACATGCCAGCAGACAGTCAGATATTTTGGCAAACTCTAAGCAGCACAAACTTTCTGTTGCAGTTATATGGGTGATATTCAAGGGATTGGTTCCTTAAGGACACAGTTTTTCAGGGTGAGGCTTTTTTCCTCCAAGGCTTTCCATCCACTGGTACTTTTCTATTTCTTTTAATTTGTCAAGTCAAACAGCAAATCTTTAATGTGTTTTGGTGCTAAACTGTTCAGTGATTTACAAACTAACAGTATTTTAAAGTATCTGAACTACAGGAAGCCAAACAATGTGACTAAAGTTAAATGCATGGATGAGTTTCTCTAGATCCTGCTGAGACATTACTCCTTTAATCCTGTAAATGTTCTTCAGGTGATAGAAGGCCAACTTTGTAACTGTCTTTATGTGACTCTGAAGGTTCAGGTCAGAGTTCATCACCCGGATCTCTAGTTTCTAGCTATAATAAATAAAGCTTTGTGCTGACTGGATCATTTCTCTTATGTTAAAAAAAAAAAACACATAAGCTAACGTTAGCTGAAGGTTTACAGCGGCTTAGTCTTCTTCTGCCTTGGGCCGGCTCTGTTCACATGGATGCAGTTCAAACACCAGGAACATTTGAAATGAAATCTACATCAATCAGCAGATTCAAACTTTAAAAAGGTCAAAGGGTGGCATGAGGTAAAGCGAGAACACTGCAAAATAACAAAATATTTCTAATAAGTATTTTCTAATGTCAATTTCTTAGTATTTTCATCAAATACAGGAGCTTGTTTTAAGTCAATAATTCCTTAAGATTCATTAAAAGGTACCAGTTCCATTGACAGATTATTTCACTTACAACTAAACAATATCATCAATCTTAAGGAATAATTGACTTAAACAAGCTTATATTTTGGTGTAAGTTAGCTTTGTCTTTTGTCAAGTGAACTAACATATTTGAACTGGAAACTGGACAGAAATACTTGGAAATATTTTGTGTTTTTGTGGTGAGTTCGATCCTCCACTAAATTCAGCCGACCTTTCATCACAATCATTCATTTTGAGTAATTTTACGCATGGTTCCCCTTTTAAAAGTCACTGAAATCTTTTTACTCACTTATCAATAGTTGGTATTCTTTAAAAGGGTTTTTCTCTGAAGCCAGAGAGCGAACCCGTCATCATCAACACCCTGTATTAACGATGTTCCATTCACATTTTATGTCTTAGACCTTTTGAATCTGCATTAAGTTTTCCTTTCTGTCAGTAATCCTGAGCAGCAGCTCCAACCTTCGCTGTGCTCAGTGGGCTGACCTTGTTGGCTGGAAGCCACGCCCGGCATCTAAGATCATCATAAGAAGCTCGACTCAGACTGTTTGTCTTTCTCCCCAGAGTTTTGGCCAGGAAAGACGTCCGTCTCTTTGTTTCTCTTTTCACTCGCTCCTCAGCTCAAATGGAGATGAACAATGGTGCAATCAAGGAGGTGAGTTTTTATTTTTGAAGCTAAAATAGTTTGTTTTTACAACAAAATCAATATCAATGTTTGCATTTGCATTACTTTTGCCAAATTCCTTTAAAAATATAGCGTATGATTTCTACTTGTATTTACTGCAACTGTTTTTTAATGCTATTTTTGGTATTTTTGATGAAGAATGCAACTAGAAGTACTTTACACTGCTTCATATAATGGAGATATTAATAATTTGGATTATTCACATGGAAATCTTTAACACCGCTGGCCGAAGTCGGAAACATCCAAGTATCAGGGGTGGAAAATTAAATCTTGTTTCATTATCTGCAGAAAAATACAATGTTGTTTTAGGGCCATTGTCGACAGAAAAAGAAAAAGGAGGAGTAAAATCTCAGATTCTTATTTTAGTAATCTAAGTAATCTAATCTCTAGTAAATTTCTAGAAAAACTTAGAAAATTGTAGTTAGTAAAAATTAAAACTTTTCAACTTGTTAAACTCACAGATTTCCAAGTTTTTTCTAGTAAATATCTGAGATTGATCGAAAAATGTCTGATTTTTTTTTCTTCTTTTTTGTGCAAAGTTTTGAATTTAAAAAAAATATTTTAAAGAAATTTCAAAGATTTTACTATAAATTTTGGAATTTTTGGAGTTAATAAATTTTAATATATTTTCTACAAAAATTTTCAGATTAAGCTAAAAACTTTAAACATTTTCTCACAAATTTTTGAATTTTCAAATTCATAAATTTCACATTTTTTTCTAGAAAGTTCATGAAAATTTCTCTTATAGGTATTTTACTTTTGGAGCTCAGACATTTCCTTGTTTTTCAGAAAATTTATGAGATTAATCTCAAAATGAGTTTTCTTTCTACAATGGCTTTTTACCATGATAGAAAAAAACTTTACACCATTTATAAATGCCACGTTTTGATAGTTTCGACTAAATCTCCTAATTTTGTGTTTCTCTGGGTTTTTAGATGGATGTTGACCACATACATGAAGAGGAGACGTAAGTAGAGTTTCATCTCTCCAAACATTCTTTATTTTTTATTTTAAATCAAATATATCGACCAATTAAGATTTAATGTAAATGCTTCATTAAAATGAAATGTAATGTAAACTAAATTCTTTATATATATTCTTTAAAGTGTTCTCTATAACCCATTTTCTATGCTCTCTGGAGTTTTTTGAGTTTTTATTTGGGCTTTAGCTGATTTATCAGTGATTTACTAAATGCAAAACTTTCAGCCAAATATGAGAGCTTAGCTTTGGAGTAAAAGCTGTGACTAAATAACGGCTTCCTAGAAACAAAATGAAGGAAAAGGATCATAAGGATAAGAACGTGAGATTCTCTGGACCTTTGCTCTCCGGAAGGTTGTGCCTCTGTGGAAAAACCTTCAGCGTCTTTACTAACACATATTTCCCTCTGACAAAGACAGCATCATAATATGAACATAGATGAATAAAGTCATAATATACTGGCTCATAGCAAAACAGGAGAGAAAAAGATCAGAGAAAAATAATTCAGAATTCTGAGGAAACAAGTGAGAATTTAAAAAATATCCATCAGAATTCAGGTCTGAAAGTCAAAATTCTGTGAAAAAGTCAAAATTCAGAGAAAAAAAGAAAAAAACAAGTTTATAGTTCTGAGTAAATAAACATCCAAACTCAGAAGGAAAGAAGAGGATGGAAGATGTGAGGCTGATTTTTGGAAATGTTTGATTTTCTCTGTCTGCATTTCAGAATTCTCCAGCTGGACTTGGAGACGGCGCTGGAGGAATGTGACGTCGCCCTGCATCTGTTTCTGAACAACCGGTTTGCAGACGCTTTGAGTTCACTGGAGCCGCGGTAAGTCTCTGACGTTCACTAAAATCTTTGAATAAAATGGGACTTCTCAGAATCAGAAATCCTGTTTTCAGGTCGGAAAATCTTTGAGTTCTTCTGGAAACTACATGTCAGCAGCAACTTTTAGGAAGAGAGAGGATTAAATACACTGAGAAAAGTCTGACTTTAGTCTCAGAAATCTGAGACTAAAATCGAAATTCTGAGGAAAAAAAACATAATTTTGAGGAAATAAGTCAGAATTCTTAGAAAAAATAAAATTTGCTCATTAGTGAGACTTGCCAGGCTCTTTAAATGCTATTTAATGCGGTAAAAGTTTTAGATCAACAATTATGTGACATAATCCTTGATTTTTTTATACAGACTGAAAAACTAAATCAATTAAAAAAACTAATTGATTTCCTTTGTGACAGAAAAAAAGATGCAAAAATGTAAACTTACTTTAATTTCTTACACATTTAATAATTTTACTTTTCTTTAAAAATCCCATTTGATCCTATTTTACTGAAGCGTTTGTGTCCTCCAGAAAGAGCCACAGTATGTATCATGCTATGGGCTACAGCAGCATCTTACTGATGCAGGCTGCTATGACCTTTGACCCCAAGGACATGGATGTTGCCATGGCGTCACTGAAGGAAGCTCTGCACACCTGCCAGAGGTAAAGCTAGAAAAACGCATCAGTATATTGATTGATAACAGAAATGTCCCTATTCATGTCTCATCCGTGTATTTATGTCATTTTTTATGCATTTGCCTCACATCCTCACATTTCACGTGGTTTTTCTCATAAATTTCATTTTTATGGTGTTGTCTTTGAGTCACCAATCTGAGTGTGCAGTAAAACCGACGTGAGCGCATATGTTTATGTGAATGAACAATAATGTGTGGTGTTGAATGTTAATATCTCACACTCTGTTGCTAAATTTGTGTTTAACGTTGTGTATGGAAGACAAATAAGGCCAAAAATGCATGAAATTTCATG